TTGGTAGCATATCAGGAAAAAATAAACAGTTAACTCTTTGCTAATGCAATAAGGGTAAGAGATGGAAATACCTTTTGAGTTCATTCTGATGATCATCGAAGAAGACAACAACGCGGCTGAGATCAGTTACTCTGTGTTTTCTCAACACGTTTTTCCAATCAACACTTCCAAAATCAACAAAATCTTTGCCTGCAAAGTAAGTGCAGTTTCCATCTACATAAGCAGGTCCCTTCTTCAGGTACTTCTCGGGGTGTCTAGGCGTTAGTGAGATAATAGGTGTATCTGGCATAGCCTGGCGCATAACCCAAGTGGAATGTCCCTTAAAAGCACCACTCTCAATCATTAGCTCTGGCTTTAACCAACGTGCCATGAACCATAGCCCGAAACTGTGATCAAAACCCATTCCATGCATGTTGTTCTTTATGGGACGTGTTTCGTATATGGGCACAAACTCTTCAAGAGCCTTGAGTAAATTCTTGGAGGTCCACTCAACTTCTTTTCCATGTTTCGATCTGCCTTTTGCCAAGGAAAAGAATTAAATACGTACATATCATAACAAATCAATCTCTTTGATAATAGCTAGTAATATCTTCCATAATAACAACCTCAAGTTCCTCCTCTTCAACTAAATTAACATGGAGATTGATAAGAAGAAGAAGAACATCACTACCTCAGAATATAAAACTCATAACAAAATTTGAACTAGATCATTTTAATGTTTCTTCTCTACTGTTCCATTCTGTGAAACGCGGCGAACTAAACTTTCAAGAATGCTAAAAAATTAAAGAAAACTTGATTGAGACAAATATCTTTATTTACAACCTTAAAACTATCCTTAAAAGAAACCCAACTATGTCAAAGTAGTCTTTACTGGTGCACAAAGATTTTAAGTAAACATTAGGTATTAGCATTAAGCCAAAGACACTCACTCAAAAAAAAAGAGACTTCACAACGGACATGCCTGACGACCATTGTGAAGTCTCTTTCTGAATGAGTGTCTTTGACCTTATGCTAAGAGCATCATTATTGCAGGTTTCTTAAGGAAATATATGAAACTGGTTCTTATATTTCCCTAAAAAACCCTCCCTAAGAAACCTGCAATAATGATGCTCTAAGAGACTCGTTCTTATATTTCCCTAAAAAATCCGCCTAAAGAAACCTGCAATAATGATGTTCTAAGAAACTGGTTCTAATATTTCCCTAAGAAGCCTAAAGAAACCTGCAATAATGATGCTCTAAGAAACTGGTTCTAATATTTCCCTAAGAAACCCGTCCTAAGAAACCTGCAATAATTAATGATGCTCTAACACTAGGAATAACATTTGGCACAACCATCACTATCCATAGAGATTAACCACTAGCCACTACAACACCAAAACCAATCCATCTTTAATTGTGAACAGCTAACACTTGCAACCTAAATCAAATCTCACCAAAATCAATTCTAACCAAATCCACAACGAATCACACGTAGATAAAACCAAATCATAATAAACAACAGAGATCTGGCGTGCTTACACCAAGGAACACCTAAGGCTCCAAAATCCGATTCAAGCCCATCCAAACCGAAAAACCCGATCCGAGCAACCGGATCGAACCTCGAGATGCAGACGAAGCTCGTGGAACGGAACGCGAAGGAGATGAGGAAGAGGAGCGCGAGGAAGAAGAGAGCGATGACGAGGCAAGGCCACCACTGGTGCCCGATCCGAGAAACGAAATTGGAGGCGAGGAGGTAGATGTGTGGGCGCTTGGTCTTGGATTCGTCGGCGCCGGATTCGCCGGAATAGGAGAGATCGGCGTCGGAGTGGGGACGGCGGAAGGAGAGAGCGCGATCGAGCATGGTCGTTGGAGTTTTGGGTGAGTGAGAGTGCCACGGTGATTGGCCGTTGTTGTTGTTGTTGCTGTTGTTGCTCATCGCTACTACTCTTTCCATTAAATCTTTTAAGTATCATGTAATTAAAGTCTTTTTTTCTTTCTCTACTTTTATAATGCAAGCAAATTAAAGATAAGCACTTACATTTAAGTGTATTTAAAATAGTCATTTTTACATCTGTTTAAAACAACAATAAATAATTTAAATTTTAGTATAATTTTAATATTTACTATAGTATTAAGGCACGATATAAATAGTATTTTTAATTTTCACTAAAATAAGTAAAATTAATTGTGTTTAAAATATTAGATTATTTACAGTTATTTTTAATAAATATTTATTTATATAAAGTAACTCTATAAATTTAAACAAAATAGAACATATTTTTGTACATTAAACATTAAATTAATCAGTATATTATAAAAGTTGAGTTATTATCAAAAGTGTATCCACATAAACTAAAATTAATAATATTATTAAATTTAATGAAGACATATTTTACTAAAAATGATTATAAATTATATGATAATGATTAAGACTGATCATATAAAAAATGTTCAATTATTTAATAATTTTGAAATTTAATATTTTACTAAAATAATGAGAAGAAATTTCTAAAATTTTAAAGAAAATAATTAATATATTTCCACATTAAATATTAAGATATGCAGTATATTATGAAATCTAACCTTTTTCTTGTTATAGGATATATCCACTAGAATGGCCAAATCTACTTTCTAATGGAATTTGCACACGGTTTACTACTTGGTTCAAACAATTTTGTTAATTCTTTTGGTTGATTCCACCACACAAAAAAAAAAAACAGAGTAATGTCTTTTTCTTGGTTCAAATAACGTTACACTTAGTGCCTGACTTTGGATTAAGTTGCAGTAAATACGTCGCATAATTCTTACCAAGCAGCGTGGTTTCTCATTTCTCAAATTAGACTTTTACGAGTTTCATGTGGGTTAAGGTGAGACTGATACTGATAGGCTTTGGTGGGGTCGTTTACCAAGTCTCTTTAAAACAAGACCTTTAACGTGAAACAGAAAAGTCATACATGCCGGCAAAATCTCAGCTCGTTCTATGGGTAAAGTCTCTTTCTCTCTCTTCCTGATTCTCCTGAAGTGTTTTGATTATGCTTGTATAGTTGTGTTGGGTGTGATCGGATGAGAATCTTGTGAAACAGATTGGTTCAAGAACTCGTCAAAGCAGAGTTCATCACTACAGAACCGCGGGGGATCTTCCACTGCTAATTCCATTCCACCTACTTCCAAGGGCAAGCAGGTTTACTGATTTACCTCGTAGATTCTTCTTCTTCAGAGTTGAGAGAAATGTTCTGGTCCTGGATATATAAAAAAATAACAATATATATGTTCTTGGTATTTTTTTTTTCCGACTCTAATCATTGAAATCTTGAAATGTTTGGTAGATTATACAAGGACATGGAGAAGTGTTTACACACTTTATATCACTTCCATTAGCTATATACCCTGAGCTGAAAGAAAACGTTGAGGCTTTTCGGAATTCTATATTGGGTAACAATAATGATAAGAAGCCTTTGAAGTTTCAGAGCACTTTAGATGGTAAGATCAAACAAAACTAATTAAACTAGCTAGTAATATAAGTTTTATTATAAAACTTGTTTTCATGACATTCACATGCCATCTTAAGCAGAAATGGGAATCGAAAACTCGATGTTTATTTCTCCAAATAGTTTACACTTGACTGTGGTTATGTTAAAGTTAGAGAGCAAGGAAGCTGTGGATGCAGCTCAGGATATCCTTAAGGTTCCAATCAGTTTTCTGTAAGCATCTTCTATAGTATTGCTTTGATGATTGGGGGTATTTATCTTTTTCCTTTTGAAAAATAAGAGCGTTTCTTCAAGTGTGAGACATGCTTTAAATAACCGACCTGTCTTCATACGACTTAAAGGATTGGTAAGATGTAACATCCTTGGCTTCTACGTTACTACAATTTTTCTAGTGGCTTGAAACATAAACTTTGATGTAAAACCCCAATGGTCTGCTTTGTATATTTTCTCTTGTTAAGGATTGTATGAATGGATCTTTAGAGAAAACCCGTGTGCTCTATGCACCAGTTGAAGAAGTTGGGGGTGAAGGCCGGCTGCTAAGGGCTTGCAGCATCCTAATACTTCTAAGAGCTTATTTTTAGTCATGTCCCTTTGTTTGAAAATAGAGACAAAAATCTATATCATAGTGTCAGTTTGCAAGATCTGTTGAATTCTTTAACTCCCTAATTAGATATAATCATCGACGCATTTGTGAATGTTGGATTTGCTGGGAAAGATGCAAAGTCACGCTTGAAGGTAAATGCTTTTATATCTATCGTTTACTAGGACAAAGACAATGATTGAAGTAATGTGGTCTCAGCTTTTCCTTCATGTATATTCCTTTGATTTGGCAGCTACATGTTACGATGATGAATGCAACCTACAGAAGGGATAAAAGCAAAGGGATGACTTTTGATGCGAGAGAGATACACAAAGTGTTTGGGAAAAAAGATTGGGGTGAATATCTAATCAGAGAAGCTCAGATCTCAAAAAGGTTTTGGTATGACTCCAACGGCTACTTCCATTGCTGTGGTTCACTACATTTTCCACATAAGTGACACTGAAAAGGATCAATATCCACTCCACAGATGCTTAGTCAAGACTATGATCAGTGTTAATGTTAATTATGTAATACATTTGTGTGTATGTAACCAATCATAGCAATTGGTAACTGAGGCTTGTGACATATATTGTGTTGGAATTCACACATCATATGTAATATGGTATGCTATATTGAATAAACAAAATAACTTTAAGATCTTACTGATTGATATTTTATATTCTACTAGCTTCTTTACGAATCATCAAATCTTGTTAAAGAGGCTGAAACAAAGCAGAGGTGTATAATTAAGTTGACTCTCTCATACGAGTACTTGGAGGAAAAAAAACAAGAAGAGAGTCGTAGTAAAGCATTATGGGTTATGTTCTATGTTGTTGACAACAACTGTAAAAGTGAACCTTTAGCTAGACAAAGTGTAAAAGCATGAAACTCTAACCAAGAGATACGGCGCCCTTCAACTATGGGAGATCATAGTCATTGCTCTCTTTGCAGCTTTCATACTAATCCTCGTCATCTCAGTATGGCTCAGCTTTCCATAAAAAAATCAAGAAGATCCAACTTCACGCAGCTTTCCATAACGCAAAGCCCTCACCTTCCAGAAGAAATCAAAGACATAAGTGTTGATCATGTTCTGTCTAACAACAACGGCACATCTCATCAAACTCTAGATGAGAAGTTCAGCGAGAGAGAGAGATTGAGAATGGTGATGGTAACTGCTCTGGTTCTTTAGAGAACAAGACCGTGGTTCAGTCACATTTGTCTCCTGCTGCTACTCCTTTGGCAGCAGCTCATTCGCCTCTCTCTGGTCTTCCTGAGGGTTCGCACATTGGTTGGGGTCACTGGTTCACTCTACGTGACCTTCAGCTCGCGACTAATCATTTCTCCAAGGAGAATATCATTGGTGATGGTGGCTATGGTGTTGTTTACCATGGAACTCTAGCTAATAAAACCCCTGTGGCTGTCAAAAACTTGCTCAACAATCCATAAGTTATACCATGCCACCTTTCTTTATTTTTTCAGTGGTCAGATTATTCGGATTGGAGTGTTTTAAACTCAATTAGAAATCAATAGTTTTTGGACTGGTTCGGATATAGAGTTAGATAGATTTACTATTTTTATATGAAATCTGAACCAGAACCGAAAAAATAGGATTTGGTTCGGATTTAAACGAAAACACACAAAAAGAAACATTAGTTAAACATAAAATTGAATATATTCGGTAATTTCATTTCTTTTAAATAATTTTCATGTCTATAAATTAAATTTAAATATGTAGTTATTTTAAAACTATATGTAACTAACATTTGGTTTTGGTTTTCGAGTTTAGAGAAATAAGAATTGTTTTGATCCAACAAAAAAAAGAGAAATAAGAATTGTTTGGGTTTTTGTAAGTTTCGGTTTTGATCGTTTTCTGGTTTGTTTCCGGTTTGGTCTTCGGGTTGAGATAATACGCTTTATTCTTGTATAATTAATTCAGAGGGCAAGCTGATAAAGACTTCAGAGTTGAAGTGGAGGCAATTGGACATGTCAGGCACAAGAACTTAGTTCGGCTTCTAGGATACTGCGTTGAAGGAACACATAGGATGCTGGTTTATGAGTACGTGAACAATGGGAAGTCAGAGCAATGGCTACACGGAGACATGAACCACCAAGAGCATCTAACGTGGGAGGCACGGATCAAAGTTCTTGTGGGCACGGCTAAAGCGTAAGCTTTATGATGAGTCTTGAGTCTTGTTTTATTTCCTGGTTAGCGTAAGCTTATGAGAATGACACAGGCTGGCTTATCTTCACGAAGCTATTGAGCTGAAAGTGGTGCATAGAGACATCAAATCAGGAAATATACTGATGGATGATAACTTTGACGCCAAGTTATCTGACTTTGGTCTTGCTAAATTGCTTGGAGCTGATAAATATTTACGTGAGTACTCGTGTCATGGGGTACATTTGGGTGAGTTATAAACACTGTAGCTTTATATTAATTTTTTTTTTTATTTTCTTGCTTACTTATAACATTGGTTTTTCTTACGTTTATATTCAGATATGTGGCGCCTGTGTACGCTAATTATTCTGGTCTCCTAAACGAGAAGAGCGACGTGTACAGCTTTGGTGTTGTTCTGTTGGAAGCTATTACTGGAAGGTACACAGTGGATTATGATGGGCCTAAAGAAGAGGTAGACAAAGCACTCACACACTTTGAGATTGAGATAAATAAGAGGTCAGAAGACAGAACCATACATTATTAGATATAATGTAACCATTATTAGATAATGTAATGATAAAGGAAGAGCACAATAAGATATAATATTTTACAAGACCAAGTATGCAGGCAAAAAAACACACACACAAGGGCAGTGACCATGAATAGCTTTTTTCGAAGAAAGGAACATGAAAACTCCAATCAGAACCATCTTTGTAATCTGGGATGCAAATGTAACTCAGACGCTAATATGGACTTGGGCGGCTCAAAAAAAAGAGTGAAACCTTTCGATCGCACAGCTTCATAAACAGTCTTGAGAAGAGAGTCTTCTTCCAGAACGTCTTCTGAGAGTACAAGCAAGGTTGTTGGATCGCAAAGATAAGACAATGCATGGAAAAGAATGAACGTTGCAATTCTCTGATTTCTGACACGTGTATTTCCTGAAAAGAATGGGTTTTACACAGTTATATTTTTTACAAAAAAAATATTGACAAAATATTCCAGAATATATCACTCACCTTTGGGGACGATATCGAGAAGGAGAGTGGAACCTAGATATTTAGAGATGAGATGTTCAGGGAGGGCATCCTCATCAGCAAACACCTTGGTGAAATCAGGAGGAGGAAGACCCTTAAGCATAAAGAAGGCATCGATATTGGCTGCAGAGATTACAGGATCCAAATCTTCAAGTGCTGCAGAATCCACAGCGTTCCAGATGGCAAGTGTAGTACGATCTGCAAGTAAATAATAATTTCATTTAAATAACAAAAAAAAAAAGAATTATGATCAGATAAATCAATATATAGATTTAAATAAAGCTTACCCAGATCAAGTAATCTGACGGAACTTCCGGATACGTAGTCTACGGTCGGCATCGGGGTGGTCTTGAGCTTTTTGTCAACAACATGTTCGCCGCGGCCTTGTTGTTGATGTAAAGAAGGTTGTAAAGAAGCTTGCCAGAGACTTTCAAGAAGCCATAGTGGGTTTTGAGTAGGAATTATTGGTTCTACAACCTGATCGTATGCTAAGAAGATATTCAGTCTTCTATTGTGCAAAAGGTGAATATTAAAGACTGCATCTTCCTCTAGGAAGTTTCGTGCGATTACTATCAGATTTGAACTTGGATGATCCAGCGCACATAGTAGCATGTCCACTGTCATTCTATAATCTCTCGTGTCGTAAGGTTCGAAACAGAATCTGATTCCAGCAAGCTCATAATCCTCCTTATTCCGTATCTGGGATTCACTATATGCATACAACCATATAGACACGGGTCCCGTGTAACCTTTACTGCTAAGGGTTAACTTGATATTCTCATAAATCAAGTGGGGATGGATATCTGGAATTGGGAAACTATTGACGTCCCAGAAGACACCTGTGTGTTCGGCTGCAAAGAAAGTTTCCAAAACAATTATTATTATGGTCGCAATCAAGCAACATAACAGTGACAGTTAAAACACCAATTACACAAGTATTATTAGGTCCCGTGAAAACTAGTTTTATTCCACAACTAAGTTCCCTAACCGGTACCTGTACGGCGGTACCTAAACAGACAGTCCCCGTGCTACATAGATCATGGGATATAAAATTTGACTAGACTCGACCTCTATTTTTACTACCATAATTATTAGATCTAGTCGAATAGATCTTACCTCGGAATGTATCCCAATATTCATCAGGATCCAACATCGGCGGCAAATAGGACATGGTTTCTGGCCGAGAGAAACTTTTCTGTTGACGAGAAGATAGGAGCAACCTAATCTCTCTGGCCGCGGTAGATCTCTATTTGCTCTTTTCTTTTTTCTTTTCTTAAGGGTTATGTTGTAAACTAATCAGAGAATAGATGAATTGGTGTATCTATTATTCATAACATAGGGTCTTTTATATAGAGAATTACATAAGAGATAAATGGAAAATACAAAACCAATATAAATATGGAAAATACTAAATCTAAACCGTCATATAGATTACACGGATTGAGCCTAGATAATATGATTATAGCTCATCCTAATTGGTTCATAACACTTCTCCTGAGATAGTAAAAGGTGGGGATGTGGTTATGTTGGAAACCAAAATAAGCCAATAATTTGTCTTGATTCTTCTTTCTTTCTTTGTGGTGTTGCATAAGGCAGAAAACTGTTTAGTAGTGGGTATGTATGACAACGTGTGAAACAGTTTAGAGAATATACACCAACAACAATTTTCCAGTATGTACACAGGAAAAAAACAAGCCACTTGTTCCATGGAAACTAAGCTACATGTGTTTTAGGGTAGGGAACTTGTATAGTCAATTTGTGACAGATGGTAAAATTATGCAAAAGGTGATCTATAATCACATAAAAGTGGAGTTGTAGGGAAAAATGCATATTATTTCTGACTCATATTCTGACTACAAAGCATGGCTGTATATCCTCGTTTCAATATAAACTAATATCCATGTTTCCCTATATTCGAACTGGTTTCCACGACTTCTTTAATCTTGAGCTCTATATTAAGTGTGCACTCTGCAAGAAAAAACAACTTTGATGCTACGCAATTGATCAAGTGAAGCATGTTAATGTACACGCATTATTCACTTAACCTCTATAGCTTTTAAATAAGAACCTACATTTACGGCATATACTTGTTCAATTGCCTGGTAAGAAGTATTTTGTTTTAGTAATTTCTGCAAACCTCTCAGTTTGATCAGGAGAAATATGTGAACCATATACTTAGGCCAGTATCTTTGGAGGGAGCATGCCAATAAATGATATTATTAGATGAGAAATTAGAAAAAAAAAAAAAAATGTTGCATGCTCTTCTTGTGCCTCTATCAACAAATAGTTAATGACCTATGTATTTTGCTTCACAATCCAACTTGATTGTGTCCCCTTCACTTGATTTGTTTCTCTCGTAAGAGTTTCTCATACTTCAGTATCATTTTCTCTGAACAGGCACTAAATACTTTAACCATAGCATCTAGATACAATGTAGAAAATCATGAGTTTAGCTGCAACATAGATTAAAAAAACAAATCTTTAATGCCATAAGCGCTGCAATATCTAAAACGCATATATTTCACAAACCTACTTCACCTCTTCTTCTGAACTTCCAAGTGTGTAGGTCTACTGGTATCAACCCTTTTCCCATAGTCAGCTCTAAGATCACAGAAAGAACTCATTAAAGAAACACAAAGGAAGTCACTTGATGGTACCAAAAAAACAAAAACGAAATGGTTCCTCTATCAATTGAAAACCATATTACCTTGATTGAACATTCTGATTTTTATCATATACAATATCAATTAATATTTTATTTTTAATTTTTAGATTTTGATGAAGATTTTACTATGACACTTGAATAAAAAATAAAGTGAACGATGATCGAAAGAACCAATATTAGTTAACGATGAACAGGAGTTTGAAGGGGCTACTGTGGAGGAGTTAAAGGAGTTGCTTGATTTTCAATGCAGCGATTTGGACTGTTCCCATCTTGAGAAGGAGGTTTCAAAGGATGAAATTAGAAATGTTGTTTTCCGGATGCCTTCTAGTAAATCTCCAGGGCCTGATGGATATACTTCAGAATTCTTTAAAGAGGCTTGGTCAGTGATTGGTGATGATGTTACTAAAGCTGTTCAATCCTTCTTTTTTAAAGGCTTTTTACCGAAAGGCCTAAATTCCACTATCCTAGCTCTTATACCAAAGAAGGAGGAAGCTCGTTTGATGAAGGACTACAGACCTATCTCTCTGTGTAATGTCCTATACAAGGTAATCTCAAAACTCCTTGCAAATAGATTGAAAGGTATCTTGCCTAAGTGTATTACACTCAATCAATCTGCGTTTGTCAA